ACATACAATCATATAACAACAACATTACATTGAGGTCAGATATGGATGAAATAGCAACAGGGGTGGTATCGGTGATCTCCCAGAACAACCAGGCATGCCATGTTAGGCCGTGGTATCAGTGGTGGGCTAAAATACCCGCGGGTCTAGTGCCCATATGGGGCGTAGGCGGGTGCCTGGATGCCTTGTAAATATACACCTAGGAGCTGACATATCTGGACTTAATGTCCGCTATAGCAGAAGCGATGGTTGGGGCGAGTGGGGCTCGTATGCTCTGAGCCGACTCTCCCTACTCTTATGGGGATGGCTGAGTGGGGCGGGGCGCCAAGAGCTACAGTTTATGCCTCATAGTCTACCAGGCTAAGATTGGATGAGTGAGCTTGAGCGAAAGATCCAGCTCTTGCCGTACGTATGGGCCTAACTTGTGTAAAAGCTCTATTTTTTTTTTTTTTTTTAACAAGTTCTCTATGTAATAACATATTATAACTCAATACTATGCAATAACATTGGGCAGTTGTCAAACACAAATGATACTCAAGCGTCCGGCGATGAGGTGAGTTACAGCTCTCGAGATAATCGGATAGGATCAGTTCCTAGGGAGAGAGGCCACGGGGTCTCCAGCCATCCTCCACTCCGGCCGTATTTTCGAAGGAGAGATGCGAGCCGGGAAAGCCTGTCCTTGGGCATGGTGTAGGCCCCATTCTTTCATCTTCGCCAGGCCTGCCTCCGGTTCCAAAATTGGCACAGTTCTTTCGCGATACCACACCAGCAATTTTGTCGGGTATGCCCAACGGTATGAGATGTTGTTGTTCCAGAGGGTTTTTGTCACATCAACGAATTCCCTCCTCCTCGCCATCGTTGTCGCAGAGAGGTCAGCGTAGATTTGGATGTGTTGATATGGTTCCGGCAGTTTAGTAAGTTTCCGTGCTGCGTTTAGAAGTTGCTCCTTCGCTTTATAGTAGTGAAAGCGTGCTATAGTATCCCTGGGGGTGTCCGCGGTGAAACGGGCCGGTCTCGGGAGTCGATGAGCGCGATCAAACTCCCATGCGGTAACCTCGGCTTGCGGTACCAGTGTTTTGCAGAGGGCCATGAGATATTGGGGTAGCGCTTCATTCGTGATTGAGTCAGCTATGCCCCTGAATCTCAGGTTATTGCGGCGGGAGCGATCTTCTATGTCCGCCAGTTTGTGTTTGAGAACCGCTTGTTCCTCCTCCAACCTTTGTAGCTTATCGACTACGTCGTTATGTGCCACGCATAGCTCTTCAGTTTTAGCTTCAAGATGGCTGGTACGGCCTCCTATATCTGCAATGTCCTTTCTCAGTTCAGTGGTGAGCTGGCGTAGATCCAAGCGGAACGACGTCTGCAAGGTCTGTAGCATGGTTTGCAGGCTTTTATTAGTGACAGGCATATCATCCGCGGCTTGCGGTTCACAGTCATGGTCTGTGTGATATTCCGGTGACGGCTGGAGCTCCTCGTGGCTGTCGCCATCTTGGATCTGCCGGGGCTTATCTTTTTTACCCTGGCGCACCGGATCCGTGAGTTTGGTTTGTTTGGAGGGAGCCATGGCACTCAGTGTTGTGGTCTCCGCTAGTGAACGGGTTCTGTTATGCAGGGAAGTCTGCTTATTTGTCGCTCTGGGCCTGGTGGAGTATGGAGCGATCACAGCATGCGACTGCTCCCTTCGGTGGTCAGCCTCGCCCCCCGCATTGCATATTTTAAATAAATGCAGATAACATTTTTTCCAACTCACTAATTGGTACTTGCACCAAACGTTATTAAACCAGTACCCAGTTACTGTTTAATCAGTACTCCTTGAAGGACTGGAGACTATTGTGAGCTCCTCCCTTCTCAGCTTTTAGCCCTTAAGGCAGGGTAGATTCTACCCCTGAGATCGGTAGAACAAAATTATGTATTTTAGTTTCCAATAGACCTTAAAGGTTTTGGCTTTAATTGTGAATGTTAATTTTATTGTTTATTTGACAACACTTGTACTTAAAGGGACACTATAGGCACCCAGACCACTTCAGCTTATTGAAATGGTCTTGATGCAATGTCCCTAGAAAAACATTGTATTTCTAACATTATAGATTTCCTTTAATTGCTTTTCATTTAGGTTGAATACCTTTTGTCTATCATATTATGTATTGACATTTCTATCCAATTGCCTACTTGCATTGACTTTCTGTCACTGTACATTATTTGTTGATATACTGTCAGGCAGCTTCTGTCAGCTACACTTTTATTTCAGATTTGTAAAAAATTTAGCCATGTACTTTTTTTTTTTTTTTTTATAGAATTAAAACAGGGGTGAAAAAACAAAGTGTCTCTTTAATGGACAATGTACAAGATGAGTGTACAAGTGCTTAAAGGAACACTCTAGGCTCAATAACCCCTGATGTTATTTATGTGGTTATAGTGCCTGTAGTTCCCTGATACTTTCCTAATGTCCATTTTCAAACAGCTTGACACTAAATTATAGTCACCAGGCATACACAACGTGTCTCTTTCTGCCGCTTCAGCATTGACCTGAGCAGTAATGGAGAATTTGTGATGTGGAGCTCTCATTAAGTGTCAAAACTATTGAGATGGTTCTGGCATTCAACAGTGGGATTGTGACAAGAGGCTAAAGAGACACAATAACAACTTTAGTAAGGTGAAGTGGTTGTGGTGTTTAGACCCTTTGAATGCTTATAATCTATAATCTGTTCTAGTGGTTTAAACATAAGAGGTGCTATAATTAATTATTGGAATTTGGAAATCTTTGACGAGAGGATTTTTGCATTTTGTGACTACTAAAATCTACAGTGCTAGATAAGCGAGCAGTTTAATTGTCACTCACCTGACAATGAACATGTAAAATATTTTTTGTGTGTTCAACCTGTAAAAAATAAATTAAAGGCCTCTTCAACTGCCACTGAGCACCATTTGAACACAGTTTACGTCACGTTCAAGCTGCAGAAAGAGAAGTTCATTCGGGAGTAATTTTGCTCTCGAAAGATGCTCCTGGCAGTACTGTTATAGCCCTTTGCTTCGGTTGAATGGATTTTTCTAAGGGGTTTTCTAGCCAAACTAAAATAAAGTGTTTATTTCACGAGGATATGTAATCTGTTCTTGCTTTATGTAGCAATGCTTGAAAGCAGTCTATTTTCCGTTTTATTTTTTTATTCTTCCCCAAGAAATTAATGTTCTTAGGCTTACTTTGCTGCTAAGGTATACATATTTATCTACTGCATTATTAATGTTATTTTTTATTGTTACCTCATTACTTTGCAACTAATATGGCTCCTGATGGATTCTGCAGTGGTTCCACACCTCATAAACCTTAACAACATTATTTGGTATTGGTGTATTCAGATGTTTATGTACATGTAAATTTTTTTCCATTTGATATTTAGTGTTCTGTTTGCATGTTTTAGTGGCAGAAAATACTCCATTGATCAATTGCCGATATGTTGTGTTAATGTTTCTTACTGTATTTTGTATTCTTTGCTTGTGGTCTCTTTGAGATTCTCTTTGAGATTCTTTCTTCTATATACGCCAGGACAGAAAGGTACTTTGAATGCACATTTTGCCCACTTTTTGGGTTTGCGATGAGACTGTAAGGCCTAAGCTACTACTTACTACTCAAGGTTAAAAAAAAAAAATCAGATATTTTTAAATATATTCATTTTTCAGAATTATATTCCCAAGTCTCTAAAATCATATCTCTTATGCTATTTCCACATTTACGTTGATCCACCCCCTTTTATCCAGCTCTAATTTCTTTGTTTATGCTGGTTATTAATATCAAACAATTGTGGACACAATGAACATATTTGGAAGCTAAAAAACATATATTTAAATAGATATTTGTTTAAAAAAAATGTATAACATGGGAGCAGAGCCAGCTACTGAACGAGAGCGGACGCATCTCCCTTACGCTCCCAGTGTTCAGTGGCAATCAAGCTAAAAATCATCAGTTCTATTACCCATCTGGGGTACAGGACCCTGATCTCACCTTGTGATCCCTACCTGCATGGCCTGATGCCATTCTTTCACACCCTGTAGGTGAAAAAATTAAAATGCAGGTCTACAACCTATTTTTCGCCTGCCCATGGCGGGTTAGCTTCCCACGGAACCAACAAGTTATTGGAGACAGACCTCACAGAGGTTGAGACCTAACACTTCACACAGTCGGCTGTAAACCTGACAATGGGATGCCAATCCAAGAAACAGCCGGCAGACACAGCAGCTGAGACAAGGGATATTGGAACCCTTCTTCAACATCCTCCACTGCTCAAGATGGTGGCCGAAGGCTATCTAGCCTTGAAGGCTTGGTAGGGTAGTTTGGGCTTGGGTTCTGGAAAGGACCATCCCACCGCTGCCAAAAGATGAAGCGGCATCCGGGTAACCCAACCGGTTACCACAGCTAATTTCCTTCCTTCAGCCGATTAGGAACCATTTAAACTGCAACGAGACCCCCCCCAGTAATTGGACAAGACCTAGTTCTGGAGGTACTACACAATTTTATTGGCTTTTATGCATACCCCGTGCAAGGGGTGGATCACACACACATACAAAGACACATCCCACAATCCACCCGCGCCCCCCTCCCCCAGGTCCCAGCGCGGGAAGGGACTCCGTTCCCTTTGTCATCAAAGCCCGCCACTAAATCCCCTGGGTTCCCCACACCAACCGCCTCTTCCCAAGAGCCTCTGTGCCTGGGAGTCCAGGCGCGGGGAAAAGGGACCGTCCCTTTGTCTCCCAGGCACAGAAAAGCCCGCCCGCGGGAAAAGAGCTGATCTCTTCATCCCTCGGACTCATGAGAGCCCGCCAAATCTCGCCAGTGCCCTAGAAGTGCCCACACCAATATCAGGGATCCTCGCCTCGGCCCCTCGGTCTGCTAGCCTTTGTTCAGGAGGTCCAAATGTGAAAACCAATCAAGGGAAGTGTCTCCTTTAGGAGTACAAATGCTCCCCCTGGATGGCATTCGTATATACGAAATGGTGGCCACCCAGGGGGGCACTTATTTTTTTTTTTTTAATTCTTTATTTTTACTCAATAGAATCAGCAAGTGTACATCAACTTTCAGGCTTACGCAGAAGCCAACATGTTCAACATTGTGGGAACATTGCAAAGTTTGCCGAGAAAATAAAACACAAAGAGTAAACAACAAAGACAAGGCAAGGACAATGTGTGCTCCGCCATTTACTGAATCTACTGGCACCTGCCGTCTATCGAGGTGTTTTTAAATTTTTTTTTTAATTACCCCCTTCTAGGATATACATCAATGATCGGGTAATTCGACAGTTATACGGTCACTTTCGAGCTAATATAAAGAGGCCTATTAAATTACAATTTAATATAAGAAAAAGGTAATCGTTGTGGTTGTCGTTTGCATGTAATTGTAACTTAGTATTGGCTCTCTCCGTTTGTCGGGGAAACTTATGGTAGATAAAGGTACAGGCTAATCTGCAAAAGTTAAGTAGCCATCATATTTGCTGATCAACTTCCTAAGTGTGTTACCTTGTTCCTCCAATCATTGGTCTAGCCTGAAAAAACAAATCACATGAAACGATGAAATAAGAGAGAAAAAGGAAGAAAAAGAGGAAGTAAAAAGGATTAGAGAGAGAACGAGTAGTGCCTAGTCCAGGCTGAAAAGGAAAAAGAGGGAACTGGGGGGGAAACGGCGGGCCCACCATCTCTCCGCTGGCGGCAGCACCCCAACCGGCGATATATCGTCGCGGTCAGCACCAGTTGGGGTATGCCTTCAATCTCCGCTCGATCCAAATACGCTATTGTCCCATGGTTCCCAGAGTTTTTGGAATGTTGCGGTGGTCCCCCTCACCCTTGCTGTCAAATCATCCATAATTCTACATTCTTTAATTCTGGAGATTACCCCTGCGAAATCCGGGCCCTCTGAAGTGAGCCGTGCTGTCGCTATCGCTCGACGCGTGCACAAAGTAATCTTGTGTACTAATTTCTGTTCCTGAGTGGACCACCCATCCACAGATCTATTTAATAAGTAGGTCCAGGGGTCTAACCTCAGAGGCTTATCAAATATCTGCTTCAATAAATCCTCCACAGACTTCCAGAATCCGCGTATCTTTGAGCATCGCCACCACATGTGTAAATACGTTCCTTGGTCTCCGCAACCCCTCCAGCAATCATCTGTGTCTAGTTTGTGCATCCTATGTAATTGAATTGGGGTGGTGTACCATCGGAACATAGTTTTCCACGCCTGTAGGGTGACACATATTGAAACCTTAGCATTTGCCTCCCAAATCTCTTGCCACTCCAGCCCCTCCAAGGTCTCACCGAGGTCATTCTCCCATTGGACAGTATACGTTAGTCTTCCCCATTCTCCATTTTCTTCACTGAGGTGTGCGTACAATAATGTGATCATCCCCTTGGGGGTTGCCCCGTCCGAACATATTCTCTCGTAGAAAGTGTGAGTCTCCATTGCAGCCTTTTTAATGGTTGGTTTTTGGGCGAAGTCTCGTATTTGGATGTACCGGAAAAAATCCGCTGGAGTCAGGTGATTACCCAATTGAAGGTCCGCGAACTGAACGATCTCTCCATTATGAAACAGCTGATGCAACCGTTGCAGTCCAGCACGTTCGATGTTGCGGAAGTGCCTGGGGGTCATACCAGGGGGGAATTCTCTGTTCCTAAGAAGTGGGGTCATAGGAGAAGGGGATGATGCCAGCTTATATTTGGCGTTACACATGTCCCATATGCGTATCGAATTGAGGATCGCTGGGCATGTTATCCGTATTTCCGGTCTGTATTCTCTGGGGACCCACATTGTGAACTGGGGGACATCCACCCCCACCATCATAGATTCGATATCCACCCACCGCCTCTCCTCAGGAGCGGAATGCCACATGGCTATCTGCGTTAGTTGTGCTGCTAGGTAATAAAAGAAGAGGTTCGGAAGGCCCAAGCCCCCTCTATCTTTTCGCCTATACAGTACCTGTTTGGAAATTCTATGTCTCTTGTTCTGCCATATAAAGTTCCCTATTGATCTTTGCAAGGGAAGCAATTGTGTCTTCGTGATTCGGATGGGTAGCGCCTGAAAAAGAAACAGTAAGCGCGGGAGGATGTTCATTTTTACAGAATGTATCCTACCGATCCAGGAAATGGGTTTGTCAACCCATTTGTCTAGGTCCTCCGTCAGCGCTCTAAGCATGGGGGCGTAATTAGTTGCATATAGACGTTCTGGGTCAGCCGTTATGTTGATCCCTAGGTACCTTAGGGAGTCTGTTTCCATACGGATTTGGTATACCTCCTGCAACCTAGCTGTTTCATCTTGTGTCAGGCATATCGGGAGCGCACTGGACTTTTGGATGTTTGCTTTATAACCGGATAGTCCTCCGTATTCTAGAATGACGCCCTTAAGTGCGGTCATCGATTCTAACGGAGTCGTGATGGTTAAGAGAACGTCGTCCGCGTAGGCTGATACCTTGAAATCTTTATCCCCCACTCTTACACCCTTAATGTTTGGATGTTGACGTATCGCGTGAAGTAGAGGCTCCAACGCCAAAACGAAAAGGAGGGGCGAGAGCGGGCAACCCTGTCTCGTGCCATTGTATAGCCGAAATGGGTGGAACGGGGCACCCGTTATCTGTACTTGTGCCCGCACGTTATCATACATTGCTTTCGTTGTAGTTAAGTATTCCTCTGGGAAGCCCATGCACTTCAGAACTGGAAAAAGAAATTGCCACCGAACTCTGTCGAACGCCTTTTCAGCGTCTAAGGATACCACTAACGTGGGGGTCCTTGATGTCCTTTGTTTCCAGATCAGATCCACGTTCCTCCTAGTATTTTCAAACAATTGTCTATTTGGGATAAACCCAACCTGACCTGCATGGATGAGAGAAACCAGCAACGGGTTAAGTCTGTCGGCCTGTATTTTCGCCAAAATCTTCAGATCGTGATTGATCAATGAGATGGGCCTGTAGTTCTCTGGGTATAGAGGGTCCTTTCCGGGCTTAGGCAAGAGAACTATAGTCGCCAGTGTCATATCAGATGCCAGTTGTCCGCCCTGCCGTAAGCTGTCAAAAAGTCGGGCCAATTGTGGTGTGAGTTTTTCTCTAAATGTTTTGTAGTAGAGTCATGTCTACAAATGCTCGCAGTTTAGGGAATAAGATCCATGAACTTGTGGCAATAATGGCAACTGATAGTGTAGATTTAGTCGCTGTTACTGAGACATGGTACAATGAGAAAATGACTGGGACATAGCAATACCAGGGTACTCTTTATATAGGAAAGATAGGGAAGGCAAGAAAGGGGGAGGGGTGGCCTTGTATGTGAAGGATAGCATAAAATCTAGCCTAATAAAAGTTAGTGAGGCAAACATAGAGTCCGTTTGGGCTACGTTAGAATTTGGTAATCGCACAGTAACTCGTGTAGGTGTGATTTATAGGCCCCCTGGACAAATTGAAGAGTTAGATAATCTACTAGTTGAGGAAATAGCTAAAATGACAATGAAGGGGAAAGTTATCATCATGGGTGACTTTAATCTTCCTGATGTAAATTGGAAAACAAAATTAGCTACTTGTGCCAGGAGCACACATATTCTAAACTCCCTACTGGGATTGTCTCTAAAACAAGTTGTTGAGGAGCCAACTCGTAAAGAGGCCATACTAGATTTAGTGTTAACAAATGGAGATTTGGTATCAGATATTACTGTAGGTGAAAGTTTAGGATCCAGTGATCATCAGTCAGTGTGGTTTAATATAAGAACAGTGACTGAGTCACACCACACAAAAACAAAAGTTTTAGACTTTAGAAAAACAGACTTTTCTAAAATTAGAATATGGGTAGAGGAGTCATTATCAGACTGGAGCAATTTAAATGGAGTCCAAGAGAAATGGGATTATTTAAAAGTTGCACTATTGAAGGCAACAGAAAATTGCATTAGGCTTGTCAGTAAAAGCAAAAAATTCAAGAAACCACTGTGGTACTCCGCAGATGTGGCCAAAATAGTTAAAAACAAAAAGTTAGCATTTAGGAATTATAAAAAAACCCAGAGTGAGGGAGACAAAATGATCTATAAGATTAGGCAGAAAGATGCTAAGCAAGTTATAAGAGCTTCCAAATCACACACAGAAGAGAAAATAGCACAGTCAGTAAAAAAGGGGGATAAAACATTTTTTAGATACATAAATGAGAAAAGAAAAGTAAAACAAGGATTAGTTAGATTAAAAACAAAAGAAGGAAGGTATGTAGAAGAGGATAAAGGTCAGCTGACTGCCTCAATGAATATTTTTGTTCTGTATTTACAGATGAAAATGAAGGAAAGGGACCTCAGTTGAGAAAAAGGATAAATGAGTCATTTATTACACGTGAGTTTACAGAGGAAGAGGTTCTATTTCAACTGTCAAAAGTAAAGACAAATAAGTCAATGGGACCTGATGGAATACACCCAAAGCTATTAAAAGAGCTTAGTGGTGTACTAGCAAAACCATTAACAGATTTATTTAACCAATCATTGTTAACAGGAGTAGTCCCAGAAGATTGGAAGTTAGCGAATGTTGTGCCCATTTACAAGAAAGGTAATAGGGAGGAGTCGGGCAACTATAGGCCAGTAAGCCTTACTTCAGTAGTGGGGAAAGTGATGGAAACCATGTTAAAGGATAGGATTGATGAACATCTAAAAACACATGGATTTCAAGATCAGAGACAACATGGGTTTACTTCAGGGAGATCATGCCAAACTAATCTTATTGATTTTTTTGATTGGGTAACTAAAATTATAGATCAGGGTGGTGCAGTAGACATTGCTTACCTAGATTTCAGTAAGGCTTTTGACACTGTTGCACATAGAAGGCTTATCAATAAACTGCAATCTTTAAGTTTGGATTCCAATATTGTTGAATGGGTAAGGCAGTGGCTGAGTGACAGGCAACAGAGGGTTGTAGTTAATGGAATATATTCGAAGCTTGGACTTGTCACCAGTGGGGTACCTCAGGGATCTGTACTTGGACCCATTCTCTTTAATATTTTTATTAGTGATATTGCAGAAGGTCTTGATGGTAAGGTATGTCTTTTTGCTGATGATACTAAGATATGTAACAGGGTTGATGTTCCAGGAGGGATAAGCCAAATGGCAAATGATTTAGGTAAACTAGAAAAATGGTCAGAATTGTGGCAACTGACATTTAATGTGGATAAGTGCAAGATAATGCATCTTGGACGTAAAAACCCAAGGGCAGAGTACAGAATATTTGATAGAGTCCTAACCTCAACATATGAGGAAAGGGATTTAGGGGTGATTATTTCTGATGACTTAAAGGTAGGCAGACAATGTAATAGAGCAGCAGGAAATGCTAGCAGAATGCTTGGTTGTATAGGGAGAGGTATTAGCAGTAGAAAGAGGGAAGTGCTCATGCCATTGTACAGAACACTGGTGAGACCTCACTTGGAGTATTGTACACAGTACTGGAGACCGTATCTTCAGAAGGATATTGATACCTTAGAGAGGGTTCAGAGAAGGGCTACTAAACTGGTTCATGGATTGCGGGATAAAACTTACCAGGAAAGGTTAAAGGATCTTAACATGTATAGCTTGGAGGAAAGACGAGACAGGGGGGATATGATAGAAACATTTAAATATATAAAGGGAATCAACACAGTAAAGGAGGAGACTATATTTAAAAGAAGAAAAACTACCACAACAAGAGGACATAGTCTTAAATTAGAGGGACAAAGGTTTAAAAATAATATCAGGAAGTATTACTTTACTGAGAGGGTAGTGGATGCATGGAATAGCCTTCCAGCTGAAGTGGTAGAGGTTAACACAGTAAAGGAGTTTAAGCATGCGTGGGATAGGCATAAGGCTATCCTAACTATAAGATAAGACTAGGGACTAATGAAAGTATTTAGAAAATTGGGCAGACTAGATGGGCCGAATGGTTCTTATCTGCCGTCACATTCTATGTTTCTATGTTTCTATGTTTCTAGTATGAGCCGTCGAAACCATCTGGTCCCGGTGCCTTGTTGCCATTTAGATTCGAGATGGCCTTGTCAACTTCATCTTCCGATATGTCCGCTGCCAGAGAACGTGTTGCCTCACTCAATTTATCCAACCCTAAGCCTTCTAGGTATCGTATGATATATTCCTCCTCGCGTATCCCGTGCGGACTTCCATCCGGAGTGTGGTTATACAACTTTCCGTAGAAGTCTTTGAAAATCTTAGCAATCTCCACAGGTCCCGTTCTTGTCGTGCCATCAGGATGTTTGATCGCCGTTATGTGAGTCCTTCCTTGCCTTGGCCTAAGCGTTCTTGCTAAAAGGGTGTCCATTTTGTTCGCCTTTTCGAAAAAAGTCCGTTTCGACCAGGTCATGGCTTTTGCCGTGTCATCTAATAGTAAAGTGCGGATGTTCCTACGTGCTGCTTCCAATTGCGCGAAGATGTTTGCTGATGGCGCCGTTTGGTGCTTATGTTCCAGGGTGCTGAGTTGGCCCAGCAAAGATTCCAGTTGCTGGTGTTTCAGTTTCTTTTGTCTGGTGGCCAGTTTGATCAAAGTCCCCCTAATGACCACTTTATGGGCCGCCCAGATCGTGCTTGCGCTCACGTCAGGGGTGGTGTTCCACTCAAAGTAGTCTACAATTCCCTTCCTAGTCTGTTCCAAGATGTCCGGGTGACGAAACAATGACGAGTTTAGTTTCCACGTCCACGGCGAAGCAACGCAGAGGTTGCCCAGCGTGATGGATATATCGGCGTGATCTGACCAAGTTATATTGCCCACCTGTGATCCGGCTGTTCGGGACATGCCCGCTGCATTAGTCAGGAAAAGGTCAATCCTGGAATACGTTCCATGGGGGGCCGAGTAGAAAGTATAGTCTCTTACCCCTGGGTGCTGGGCTCTCCATATATCCACCAACCCCGCTTCAGCTATGAAGGCCTTAAGTAGGCGATCCTGACCGCCCCTACCCTGTGACCTAGGGGTACCCGTCCGCGAACTCCTATCTATGGCGGGGCTCGGGGCAGCGTTGAAATCTCCTCCCAAGAATAACATTCCGTGAGGCAGCCCAGATATTTTCTCCTGGATCATTTTCCAAAACCCCGAGTCCGGTTGGTTCGGTGCGTAGATGTTAACTAAGTGAATGGCATGTGAATGTAGGACCCCCGAGACAATGACGAAACGTCCTTCCGTGTCCGCTTCGTAATGCGTTTCCCGGAAGGGGCAACTACTTTTTATAAGGATCGCCACCCCGTAGCGTTTGCGATGGGACCTAGCTTCGTAGGAACCAACAAAAGCATGGTCTTTCAACCTGAACTTGGCCTGTTTAGGCAAATGGGTCTCCTGGATAAACGCGATGTCCGATTTCATTCTTCTTAGTTCTTTGAATAGGAGTCTGCGCTTCCTTGGGGCGTTCAAGCCCTTAACGTTCAGAGATAATATCTTAATCTCCATCAGGCTGACTAGTTACGGCCCTGTAAATGTCTCCGATACCACCGTTCGCGACTCGACCCCTGTCGTGGTTCCATGGTAACCCTATTGATAGGCCCCCGCCCCCACCATCCCTCCAGAGAATAGGAAGAGGAAGAAAATAAGGAGAAAAAGGAAGACAAAATAGAACAAAAAAACAGCATCCGGACACAGTCCGAAGCGCAGAATTTCTGGTCTTATCAGATGCCAGAATGATATGGGGAACGTCATCCCACTGCCCTGCCACGATCAACGTTGGGAGGAACAATGGAATCCTGAGCTCTTCCACCTAGGCACCACTTATGTGATACTCAGACCTCTGTGCTATCAGGCAGTGTAATCGTATTAGTTAGTCTATGGGCACCTCTCCCTCACCCTCCATTAGTTCTGGCTCTGCCCAGGAGCCTCACCGCCATACCACCACCCCCCTCAGGCCCAGTCATGTGATAGTGGATGTGCACTCTCCGTATCTTTTAGCATTACAGTCCACACCCGCTAGGTAAAGACCCCTCCCCTCTACCTCCCTGTGGAGCCTCTTTAAACGGCTTTCAATAAAACCCCAACAGTCAATAACAGTAGCACAGTGAGGCAGTGAGTCCGAAACAATCAAAATGGAGCGAAAGCAGAGTAAAACAACAGGGCAATCATAGAGGCTACATGCCTTACGTATTAATTGTTACAAGGTGTTATATTTACAAAAGGAGATATTCTGCAGTGATAATCGATTCTTAACGTGCTGAACTAAGGTGTAATAAATTCGGGTTCTGGTTGTGTTCCTCACTTGCTCCCTCCTCCCCGTAACGTGTTTCTTGTGTTTTGAAACCTTATTATTTCAATTTATTTCAATTTTCATATTTTAGTGAAGAAAGTTACTGTTCCATTTCTAACATTCTTCCCTGCGCCCTGGGAAATCCCCAACCCTGTCCCCTCTACCCAGCCTCCCCCATTTCCCCCTGTCAGTACGACCATGGTCATATCTTAATAAACGTCTAGTCTCCCCCGTCACTTGCAGTCCATTTACTCTGGACACGTGGCGCTCGCTGCCCGTCCACTGCGGTCTTAGATCAGGTAAAGAGAGGGGATATGTGCGAACCCATCTGCGGGGAATCTGACGCCCAATCTAACCTTATCCAAGGCTAGAGCGCAAAAGAATGATATAAGGGTCCAAACAAATCAAACTAAAGATAGGGGTAAGAATAGAGGTAGGAATAGAACTAGCCGCCCACATTACTCCCCTACAGCAGCTTATTCAAGGCACGTCAGGCCCCCCAACCACCACGAGGATCGCCCCCCGGGCGGGCAGTCACCCCCGCCGGCCAGGCCCCTCAGAGAGGAACTCTGGACCGGCCAGCGGGGGCAAGCAGCCGCACAGGAAGCGACCCCGCGGCTAGCAAGCCACCCACGGAGAGCCCCTCCCGCTTTCCCAAACCGCCCACCTGTACATAAGAAATAGGGGTCTCGGGCGAGAGCCCAGGAAGCTCAATAAATAAGGCCATCTGAACCATGTCCCCAATAACGCCCTAAAATAGCGGTAGAAATGTCATATGACCCCCGTGGGCGGCCAGCCATAGTTGAAAAGAGCTCGGGTCGGGATACTATTTGTTAGCAATATCGAACATCTATTACCAGTTATGAACTTTTCATAGTTTTGAACCTGTCGCAATAGTGCAGCTTAACTTACAAAGATAAGGGAATTGAGGTATCACTTTTGGGTTACACTCTACTCCCTCGTCCAGTGCCCTTACTACCCCCCACCCCTTCCCACCCCCTGCCCCACTGGCCCCAGTTGCAGAGTGACCGTGAACACTCCCTCCCCCATCCCCCATTAACACGAAATCTCCACGTGTCTCGGTCAACTTTATCCCCTTTTGTATATCTATATTTTGTCGGTGTGGTGGCTGCATGTTCCTGTTTCAGAGTGTGTGTTCTTTTTATTTTCTGATTTTATTCTTTTTTTTGTTTTATTTTTCCCCTCTTTTTTCCTCTCTTTTTTTTCCTTTTTTTTTTTGATCTTTTGCTTCTTGTTTTTCCTTTATTTTTCCCTTTATTTTACCTGTCCTCTTGTCCATCTGTTATTTTTACTTCTCACTTTCTTTTGTTTATGATTTGTGTATTTTTCCCTATTTGCTTTTTACACATAGTTACACCCAGTGGAGGGATAAACGAGCAACATGCCCTGCAAACCCCAGGTCGCTAATAATAATAAATAATACATATAAAAAGGAAAGAAAAAAAAAAAAGAACAACATAGTATGCAATTTTCACAACAGAGCAGCATTGTCAAAAGAAAACAGAGGAAGAACTTATTCTTCAGGTATCCGTATGGATATCCCCACGCCCGTCCTTGTCAGAAGGGGACATGAGGCCCCAGAGGCCTAGCCCCGAGGGGAAGAGTTTCGACTCCAGAGAGGCAGAGCCCACTATCCATCCCTGCGACCCGGGGGCCACAGAAGGAACCGGGCAGGCGGGACCAGGCCGCTTTATAGGGGGCAAAGGGGAATAAAAGAGAACAGGGTCCCGAAAAAAAAAACATGCCATAACCCGTGACCCCAAACCCCCTCCCAAGCAATAAGAGCCATGACCCCAGTATCCCTAAGAGGAAAAATCTCCCGCATCAACCCTCAGGTGGCGGACGGCCGCCACATCAAAAAGAAACGGACGTAGCATGCCATCCAGAAAAACCCATACCCGAGCCCCCACCCCACAAACAACAAAAATGCCCGGCTACATACGGGGAGAAAAAATAGGGGCAAGGAGGCAGAAGGTGGTATACGATACCGCAGACGATCAGAGCTGGCTCCTAGATCCCACTCCGCGCCACTCTGCCTGAAGGTGTGGAAGCTCCTCCGGTCCCATCGCTAGGTCGGGAAGGTCTGGGGGTGGTGGAATTCCCAGACCCTGGAACAGACGCTTCGGGTCTCCTCCAGGCGACAATATGTGGGCTCTGCCGTCGCGAAACACCATCAATTTAAAGGGGAAGCCCCATGCATATTTCAGGCCCGCTCCACGCAGAGCCCCAGTGATAGGCCGCCAGTCCCTCCTCCTCTGTAGCGTCGAGGGGGCCAGGTCCTGGAAGAGAAAGATCAGGGCTCCGTCGTGCCGGATAGGCCCATCCCTGCCCTTCTTCATCAAGGCTTCCATTGTCTTGAAATAGAGGAAGTTTATTATAACATCCCTCGGGGTGTTTGCATCTGTCCTCAGCGTTTTCATCGCTCTATGTGCCCTCTCAATATGCCACTGTTCCTCCGGGATGTTCGGAAGGAGAGGCTTAAAAATTGAGAGCAAGAGCTCTTGCAGATCTTCCTCCGCCCCTCAGGCGAAGATTATTCCTCCTAGAGCGGTTAGTGATATCCTCCAGGGCCAGGTCCATGTCGACCACATGAGTGGTCATGCGGTTAACCCTATCGGCTACCCCATTGTGGGCCTGGGTGGTCGCCTCCATGCGGTCTTCTAATTTGGCTGTGCGCTCTCCCAGGGCGGAGATATCAGCCTGAAGTATGGCCGTAGAGTTTTGCGATTATATCGCTCTGATCCGCAGACAGGGCAGCTCTATCGGCGCCAGGCGAGGAGTGAACGGAGCCTCCGTCGCCATCTTGGCTGCCTGCCCTGCCGTGACGATGCGCTGTAAGGAGGTCCAGAACGGAACCCCCGGGCTCCGTGGCCCTCTTAGCCTGCTTCTTGGGGGGTCTCCGTTCCATATTAGGGTATCAGGGAAGAAGGGTTCGCCCAAATAGAGGTCTCTAATTGTAGCTTATGGTGCCGGTGGAGCGGAGCTCTAGCAAAGCTCGACCGGACTCATCGGCTGTCAGGCCATGCCCCCCAGGGGGGCACTTATTAATTACTTCCCTTGCGGTTTAACACTTATGTTGCATTTGAGAACGTTCTGATTAATTGGTGCGAATGTTCTAATGGGGCACTGGGGAGGTCCTCGTTCAGGAAACGAATGAGTCGGGAATAAATCCACAAATGCTCCCCCTGGCTGGTGTTCGGCTGTATGAATGGCGGCCGCCCAGGGGAGCGCTCATTAATGGCTTCCTTTGTGGTTTGCGACTAATGTTGTGAGGTGTGAAGGTTCTAAACTAACATTCTAAATGGGGGTATCAAGGTGGTCCCCGCTCGGAGCACAATATACGAAAAGATGGGGAGAACACACATAATATAGAGAAAGGAAATTCATGGACAGGCAGCGCTCCCGCCACAGTTCACACCAAAGCCAGCATCCTTTTTAGTGCCATGATCTCCTAGTTGGAGAAAGAAGGGAAGAAATGTCTATCCAAGTTGTGAGTGTGGCATGCTCACACTACAATTTCACAACTCCTGGACAGCAGTGGATCAAATATAAATCCTATTTTGACATCCAGAAGAAGTCTTTCAGTTATAGTTGCTTTTGGAAATTAATATAGTTATAAGACACTTTGAATCGTACCTGCTACAATATAGACATTGCAGTAAAACAAAGTTATCATGTTTTTCGTAACCCTTTAATGATGGTAGTCTTGGCTGCCTGCCTGTTGCCTTGGCTGCAGTTTAGTGCAAGGTTGATCCTCCTGCCCTGAGTCAGGTTAAAAGTAAAAGTGCTGTTTTTAAAGAATAGACTCACTGCTATAGTCCACCAAATGGTTGCAGCATTCCACAAGGTATTATCATATGGTGTACTGTTTCCTTCATGACATTCTCTGAATGTGAATACTGTGTGCATTTTTTCCTATCTTTTTACTCACATTTCATTTTCATTGATAACATTATTATTATTATTATTATTATTAATATTATATTACTTGATTATAGTTATATTGTGAAGCAAATGGAAGCGGTGTGACTGTACTGAAATAGTGCAGTATATCCTGCCAATATTTTTTTTTAAATTTTGCTTTCTAAATAAAGAATGATAAAACAAAACTATTGACAATATAGTAGAACACATCATATCTTTGGCTGGTGGGAGTGCTGTGATCTAAAAACACATTTTATGTATAAAGAGCAGCTTATTCCATTTCTAACATTTTTTTCCCCTCAGCATGAAAAATATTATGCATTTAAATTTGTTTTAATACTTTTTAAATGCTAATAAAGACTGTCAGAGTTATTTACTAAACTAAGAATTCAAAGTGAATTTAAAATTTAAGGCCAGAGTCACTGAAAAGAAAGTATCGGGGGCAGAGTTTGATCATCAACCTGAACAGAACCCATTCTTGTAAGCTTCTTCAAAAAAATCTAATACCCACGAATATCTCGATAGTGATAGAACATCCAGCCCACTAACGTTGCCAGCTGGACTCTACAACACTTTCTGAGGCAGTAGATGCCATTCTTTCTTGCACCCAACCAGGGCCAGACTGGCTAACCTGGATACCGGGAAATTTCCCGGTGAGCTGGAATACTATCAGGCCGGTGGGCGGTCACCTAGTGCTCACTGGCCCGCGGGTCGCACACCACAATTACACCGTAACTGGCAGGAGGGGTTGCGCTCGGGAGTGTAGCGTGACCGAGCAGGCAGACTGCGATAGAGGAAATTCTGTTCCCCTACCCAGTCTGACTGGATGTGCTCCCAGAGAGCACATGACTGCTTCCCGTCAGGCCAGTAGGGGGACAGAAACTCCTCTACCTTGGTCTGCCTGCTCATCTATGCTACAGCAAGGTACAGGGGCGGGGGAAGAGGAGGGGCTATAATGGGACACATGGGGGCTGACGGGGCCATAATGGGACACATTGGGGCTGGGGGGCTATAATGGGACACATGGGGGCTGGGGAGGGGGCTATAATGGGACACACGGGGGCAGGGGAGGGGGCTATAATGGGACACATGGGGGCTGGGGAGGGGCTATATTGGGACACATGGGTGCTGGCGGCTATAGGGACACATGGGGGCTATAATGGGACATATGGTGGTTGGGGGGACACATGGAGCTGAGGAAGGGCCATAATGGGACACATCGGGGATCTGGGGGGGCTATAGGGACACATGGGGGTCAGCAGAGGGTATAGGAACACATAAATGGCTGGAGGGAGGTATAGGGACACATGAAGGGCTGGGAAGGGGTTATAGGGACACATGAAGTACTGGGAGGGGATATCTGGGCACATGAAGGGGTGGGCGGGGGGGGGGGACTAGTGGGACACATGTAGGGGTGGGAGAGTTTAATGTTGTCTATAGCCTGTCCCTGTAGGCTGAGCACTGTAAAGACTACCTTTTCATAGAAAAGGCAGTGTTTACATTGCTGCCTAGGAACATCTCTAGTGACAGTCACTCAGAGGGCCACTAGAGCTGCTTGTGCTAGTGCAGCACCTATGTTGAGCATCTCCACTCTCTGCATGGAGGCCCTGAACGCTCCCAATAGAGATGCATTGATGCAATACATCTCTATGAGGAGATGCTGATTGGTGCGTGAAGAACTGCGTTTTGCCACATGTGCACAATAGCCTCCCAATGCAGTCCTTTGTGAATTGAATTGGCATTGACTGAGATCATCCAGTTTTCAGCCAAAGTGAAGAGCACACTCTTGTTATTTCAAAATGAGCAAGATAACGTAACTTTTTTTACTGCTGTGCAATGGCATACATTCACAATTTCAGTCCAATTACAAAACTTTCCTTAATATGTCAAGGTAGTTGTTCTGAAACATGGATTATATGCAAATGCACGTCTACTTACAACAAATCCGCTCTTTTGTTTATTTTGAAGCCCTATCAGTGCTTTTTTTTTATGTTTGAGTGATAGTTTTCAGTTTTTTTCCCGCTTTAATATCTTCACAATATGCTGGTGCGATGCATTATGGGGCTGGTATAGAATTTTTTTGCCAGGGCTGCATTTCATTCCCAGTCTGGCCCTGTACCCAACCAGCCTAAATGGAGGCAAAAAATCAGGGCCTACCCCACGTTGACACTCCAAGGCCTGGAGGCACTCGGTGGAGCCACTGCGAAGTGAGTAGGAGAAGAATCTTCCTGTACGGCACCTGTCCCATCAGCCCACATGCCAGCTATGGTTTGCGGCTCACAGAAACTGCATACAGCGGCAGACAGCAGGGACATCAGGGCCATGCTACAGAGGCCCACACAGCCTAAACCCGCTCCAGCGCAAGTCTGGCGCTCCACTACCCACACTCACCCATTTGACCTAACGGGGCCAGAGAAAGCACTGGACACCCGAGCATCACAACTTCTGCTGCCTGAAGCCTTTACCGACTCGACACCAACTACCACGCTGTGACAAACTCCCCTCTCCAAGTGAGTTTGCCACGAGCTCCTGGAGGAGCCTGCTTGCCAGCCTCATGCCCACAAACTATGGGCCCTGCAGGGAAACCTGTAAAAGACTACCAAACTTGACCGACTGTTAGCACTGATTTCCCTGGAACTATTTGGGCATAGGATCATGTGCATGGTCAGTCAAAACTATGACTACCAGGAAATTCCTGAACCCCTGCTCTGATCTGAGTGATTTTTGGATATGGTTGATCACCCAGATCAGGGCTATCAGGGGATGTGACTGGGGATATGTTGTGTTTTGGGGTACTTTTGTGACATTTAGAAATGTGTGTTTTTTCTGCCTGGAGATAATTGAGTTGATACAGTAATTAACTCAATTATCTACCAAGCAGAGGGGAGGGATTGTTTGCCTTGTGTGGGAGTGCCTTACATTTTAAATCTGTTATTTTTTTTGGAAGTTTGTGTGCCTGTGCCCAACAAGGTCCACCTGGGTGTGAGAAAAAAACCTCAAGAATCATTAACTATATGCTCCCAGAATGCAGGTAGACCCTTTGAGGAAGAAAGTGTTCCCTCTCACACTTGGATAGTTTAAAGCAAAAAAACTACCCTTGTTGGGAAACTTGCATAATAGGCCAGTGTGCCTCCATTAAAATGCTATTCCAGCTTACACTCCAAAACTGTGTGTCATCCTGTTATTGGAGGGAAAGAAGATGTACTCCTGTGTCTGTTGTTTCAGCTTGCAGGGAATTCAATGGGGAAAGTCCTTGTAAGAGAGCTAATTCCCCATTAGAGAGCTAATTCCCCATTCGGCTCCAGGAAGGAGCAGTTCTAGGGCTCCAGTCAAGCCACGGCGACTGTGGGCAGAAGTGCTGCTGTTTGTCCCCTGTTCCAGCTAGGAAGCGGTCCTTAGCGGAGGTACCCAGCCAGGGGTACAGGGAGCTCCTTTACACACGCACTACCTGAAAGTTTTGCTGTCAGGCTTCCACAAAATACTGGCAATGGAACTTGCACCCATGAAAACAGATGTGGAAGCTATCACAGACCGAGCGCAGGTCTCTAAAAAAGGACATTACTGACATACAGAACCTGTCTACGTTCCAAGACTCGGTGCAGGAAGTCTGGTCCCACCAGAGAGCCAAGTCTGCACAGATGACAGCTATATATCAATGTCAATGGACAAATTACCACACTATATCATTCTGCCACAGCAAAAAACAAACGAACAGCAGGTATAACCTACAGGTGGTGGACAAACGGATCCCTGGTAGCATACCGAAATGGAACCTCACACAAACTTACATCGATGGAAGAAGCACCCACATTTCTGGACGCATTGGGAATGATGTCTTCGATTGCCAACCCATCCCAAGGATCCTCCATTGAATATTGGGATCCAGAACATGCTGATCCATTCGTCCCGAGGCTGAGCATCGATGACTTAAAGAACTTTTTTTAATTGACTATTTTGACTTTAAATTTGAAATTCACTTTGCTTTCTCACTTTAGTAAATAACCCTGTGAAACTGTGAAATGTAATTAAGAATTCTACTGCATTCAAAAGATATAAGAAAAAGTAAAGACTACTTTGTCTTATGGTAAATTCTCAAGTTGGCAACAAAAGGAGTTGCTATTGTGTAGGATTAAGGCATTATCTTGCACATCCCAAGGTAATATCTATGAAGGCTCCTGAGGTTTTGCAGGATACTCCATCATCGGTGTTGTACTTTTGTGCATGTGCTAGCATACAGTACTGACATGGACTTCTGATGGATGAAGCCCTAGGAGGTGAAGGTCAAACATGGCGGTGCCTGCAGGGGACATCATCGGGTAGCTAACATTCACCTTCGCTGAACCAATGTTAATTTTGTCGACTAACAATTTTGGTCATATTGTAATCGACTAGAATATTTGAGATTTAGTCGACTAAAACTAAAACAATTCAGATGACTTAAATACAACTAAAATCAAAATACATTTGACAAAATGACAAAACTAAAATTAACACTGCGCTGAACCCCTGGTCCACTTCACACCAAGTGCCAATGTCACCATTGGGGGTCTTAGCAAAAAAAAGAACATTTCATGAAGATAAAATCTTTATGGAAGTAGTAGAAACACACAAGAGAAATAAAAGCATGTTAAAGGGGCTAGGGATTGATGGATGAGATGCCTGTGTCTAAATAAGCTAGTCAAAGTTATGTGTGGAAGAACCAAGCAGTGGAAGGAGAGTGATATAGATTATAGAGGTGTGGGAACTGATGAGGGCATTGAAATGAGAGAATCATCACCCAGGAAGAGGATAAACTTTTCTAAAGAGGTGTGTTCAGTGACTTCCTAAAGGACTGGATGCTAGAGCAGAGTTTGATGGCACAAGATACGAAATTAGAAAGGTACAGGGCAGTCCTAGAAAAATCTTGCAGATGAGAGTTGGCAATACAGGGACAAGCATGTCAGGATAAGATAATTAACAGAGCAAAGGGAATGAAAAGAGGTATGTTTGTTGATTAAAGAGGAAATGTAGTAAGGAATGGAGTTGGTGAGGGCCTTCACCTATGTGCCTCTTAATCAGCCCCTCACCCCTCCCCGTCCATTAGAGGTGCTCCTCCCTTCCCTGTCCCTTAGTGTTCCTCTCCCTTCCCTGTCCCTTAGTGCACCCCCCCCACCACCTCCTTAATGGTCACACTCCCCTTCCTGGTGTGCCTCCTACCTCTCTTGTAGCGTTGCCGAGTGGAGCAGATCCCCTACAGAAGCTTCAGTTTTCTGTACCCAGCCGGACTGACAGGAAGTGCTCTCTCCGAAGTCCAAGGTTGTGGAGGGTTTGAAGAAGAAGAGGGTGGTAGACAGTATCAAAGGCAGCAGAGAGGTCAAGGAGAATTAAGAGAGAGTAATGAAATTTAGATTTAGCAGTGATTAAGTTGTTATTGTTAGTCAGTTTGGTAAGGGCAGTTTCAGTAGAATGGAGGGAGCAAAAGCCAGATTGAATCGAGTCAAGGAGAGAGTTAGTATTGAGAAATGGTGGTCATACAGTGAATGTCCATCAACAATCTGTACCAACACGTATTTGTTGTTGCATCATAGTCTCCAGGAAAGAAGAAACAGGAGAAGGTCAAGTTGCATGTGGTGCGAAACATAAAAAGCAACTCAGTCAAAAGAGGGAAAAATAATGCAGAAAAAATAAACAATACCTGGGGAAATGTAGCTTTGTGAAATTATTTTTGTAATTATGATTTTTTTTTCCTCATCTTTCACTGCAGGAAAAATAAATCGACACTGTTCAGCAACCTGAGCTTGACTAGTAAAAGTGATTGAGAAATTCTTGTATTTAATTTTAAGGACAGGTGAGTGACAAATTCAGGAATACCCAATATGATTATATTGTGTTATGTGCCAGAGCTCTTATCTTTACTTCTAAGCCTTAAGAGGAACTGAACCAATGCTAAGTCCATTTTGTTTCACTGCCAGAGGCATGCTTGAGATTGAAATACTCACGTATCTTTCCTTCATTTTTTTTAGGAAAGATTTGTCATTACCAGTCTACTTGAACCAGGTTTGTGTAATGAAATAAATATACTTATTTTAACTCTGTGCCTACTAGCACCTTATTTGGGAGTTCATTACTGAGCAATTCCTGGTCTAGTCTTTGAAGCCCAGTTCAAGTCATTTGATTCAGTATATCTTAATAAAGGCTCCATATTGCATGGGCTGCTCAGAATAATTTTGGATATATTTATTAAATAACCCTCAGATGGGTTTTTTCCCGTCGCTAAAGTCAAAAATTGAAATAAGTATCACAAAACTTAAGCTAAAATAACCAAGCAGAGGCTATATCCTATAGACTGTAAGCTCGTTTGAGCAGGGTCCTCAACTATCTATCGTTCCTGTAAGTTTTCTTGTAATAATCCTATTTATAGTTAAATCCCCCCTCTCATAATATTGTAAAGTGCTACGGAATCTGTTGACGCTACATAAATGACAATATGAATAATAATATCTAAGTTGGAGAATTTTTCAATTTTAATTTCAAGTTGCTATAATTCTGGTTTTAGTGAATGAACACCTATAGAGTTACCAGATACCCAGATTTGTATTTATATAGTAAACAGTGATTTGTGACTTGAAAACCAATCGAAAACCTTGAGCAAGAATAGCTGGAAAAATTCTCCAAGTGAACTCTTTGCAACAGTTTTTGCTTTTGACCAAAAAATGATTTTTTAGTGTAATTAGCTAATTAGGGGGAGTGCCCCTTAATTTCCACCTGTGTGGGATTTGTATTGCCAATATAAACCGACTGCTGACTCACAGAGCTTGCTCACTGGAGTTTGCCTGAAAGTAGGCTATTTCAAGTAGGAATTGAAACAGCAGGAGTTTTTAACCACTTAAGGACACATGACATGTGTGACATATCATGATTCCCTTTTATTCCAGATGTTTGGTCCTTAACCCCTTAAGGACCAAACTGGAATAAAAGGGAATCATGACATGTCACACATGTCATGTGTCCTTAAGGGGTTAAACTATAAGCGAGTTTAAACCAAGAGGGTAAATATTATTTTGCTTACTTGTGTTTTTGGTAACTGGGGATGGGTGCTAGCAAGATTGCAAGTTTTACTCAGTGCACATCATGCTGCATGTATGCATGCCTGGATTAATCTGTCCAGGGTCCATACCTCTGTGGTGGGTGTGAGCGAGTGGCTTTTCTGGAAGCTCAGATTGGAGATCTGGAGAGGCAAATTGCAACATTGAGGGAGATTGACAATCTTGAGAGGAGTTTGCTGTTCACTGAGCAGAGTTTAGTAGGGACAGGTAGTGGAGTTGGGGGAGACGAGACAGTTGGTGAGCAGGCACAGAGCTGGGTAACAGTGGGGCGAGGAAGCAGGGGGGGAGGGAAGAGTAAAGGTTTAGCTAGTCCTAATCTTATGCAGCCAAACAGATTCTACAAAGTAGATAGGGTAATCTGCCACTCTGATCGTCTCAACTGGACAGTTTGCTTTCTCCCAGGTGTTTGGGTCTGGCATGTTGCCGACAGAGAAGAGGGATTATTGGGAGGGGCTGGGATGACCCAGCTGTCATGGTCCATATTGGTACCAATGACAAAGTCAGAGGAAAATGGAAGGTATGAGTTCAGGGAACTAGAAAGTAAGCTAAAGAAAAGGACCTCCAAGGTAATATTCTTTTAAAAATTGCCACGTGCTACAGCAGAAAGGCAGCGAGAGATTAGAGAGGTCAATGCATGACTGAAGTCTTGGTGCAGGAAGAGGGTTTTAGGTTTTTAGAGCACTGGGACGATTTTGCGCTTGGGTACAACCTGTATAGTCGTGATGGATTGCACCTAAAAGGAAAAGGGTTTGCTGTGCTGGGGGATAGGATGGCTAAAAGGTTGGAGGAGATTTTAAACTAGTAGTAGGTAGGAGGGGGTCAAAGCAATCTAGAAAATGGAGATAGGTTAGATAGGAGATGGGCTTTAGCTTAGTATAAGGGGGGTGGAGTTGGGGGGAGGGGGAAGCTCAGAACAGAGAAGGTATGTAATATTGGTAAAAATTCACAAAAAGTACAAATGACAGTGGCGTGGCTAACTGAGCAACTGCACAGATGTCTAAAAGAGGAGCTCCACTCCAACATTGAAAAAAGAGTGAATTTATATACACTTGCCTGCTCCCATAATCCAGAGGCACCGAAAATGCCCAAAATAAGGCTTTCGTTCGAGAGGCCTACTCCACGCGCTCCCGCCAAGATGGCGCCAGAGGCCCAGAGCGGAGGAGAAACCTCGGAGGAGTCCAAAGATGAGGAAGAGAGAAACGCTTCACCGTCAGGAAGCAGCATACAATCGGAATCAGATGCGGAGGGTGATTCCTCACCAGCGACACGGAGAGACATTAGAAACCTCTTGCAGGACCTCAGAGAGGTATGGAAGGCAGACCTCCAGAAGGCCCAAGCGGATCTGAGTACACTCACAAACCGAGTCACTGAAATAGAGACAAGGGAGGCTGCACGAGACACCCAACTGCAGACCACCCAAGACCAGCTGGAAACATTGACAACCCAGGTCCAGAAACGTACCGGTACTGTGATGGTGCAAGACTCCAGACACAGGCGCCGAAACATCCGCATCAGGGGCGTCCCCGAACAAATTGGAGTGCCGGAGCTGCTCCCCTTCCTGCAACAAATGCTGGCCACCATGGGTCTAAAGAGTGGGGAGAACAACCCACTGCTGGTATCGGCGTTCAGGATACGCAAATCAGCATCGGCACCCGCAGAAGCACCCAGAGACCTCATAGCAGTGACATCTGATGTGGCAGCAAGATCTGCAATTATGTCCCACTCCAGAGACACCGGCAGCATCAAGTTCGAGGGCAGCTCGATTGCAGTCTATGTGGACCTACCGTTCACGGTGCTACTGGAGAAAAGGAAGCTGGCCCCGATCGCAAAGCGTCTGCAAGACGCCAACATTAAATAATGATGGGGTATGGACGGAACACTGGAAGTCCCGGGAGAGGCTGAACCTGATACAACCAACTCAGAGGAACACTCAGCCAGCTGGAACAAGCGAGGAAAACACCCCTAAAGCCAATGCCTGGAGACGTTACCTACCGACAACAGGGGACTCTACACAGTGCAGAAAAGCGGAGATAAAACGCCTGGCTCCGGCATGATGGACTCTCACCCACCTCACACAAAGCCTTTACATAACAATCATCCCCCTATACAGGGCTCATAGCCTGCACACAGCCTGACTGATATATGCCCACTCAACACAGACAGAGGTCTACCCCATCTGACATCCCTGCCATAACTCACATTACTACACCAAGCTATGTGTCTGTTAAAATGTTGTGGTTTCTGATGACACCCTTAGTGCCCCAAACCCATATGTGAAGTCATACAATTGCCATGTTATTACATTTCATAAAATGGAAAAGTGTTTTATTGCACGTATAACTCCAATAAAATACAAATTGAAAAAAAAGTACAAATGACTCATGATAATATTAAATGTATGCTTACTAATGCAAGGAGCCTATATAACAAAATGGGGGAACTAGCAGCAATAGCATACACTTAACAATATGATATAACAGAAACATGGTGGTATGAGACACATGACTGGGTAGTTAACTTAAATGGGTACACGTTATTTAGGATGGATAGGAAAAACAAAAAGGGTGGTGGGGTATGTTTGTATGTCAACCATGAGTTAAAGTCAAATCTTAGGCATGTGGAGTGTGAGGAGGAAAATGTGGAAGCTTTATGGGTAGATATCTGCTTGGGGCAAACGAAGAGAAATCAGTTATTGGTTGGGATTAGTTATAAACCACCTAATGTAAATATTAATGAAGAAGCACAGCTGTTAGAGCAAATTGGGAAAGCTGCAAATCGGGGTAACACGTTAATTATTGGAGATTTTAATTACCCGGACATAAATTGTGATAGAGTGACTAGTACTTCACCAGGGGGAATCAGGTTTTTAAATGTGTTAAATGACACCTTCATGTCACAACTGGTACAAGCACCAACTAGAAAGGATGTTTGTCTGGATCTCGTTATAAAAAACAATGTTGATCTTTTTTTTTTGTAATTCTTTATTTATGAGTTCAAAAATGCAGCGTTGCATATCTAGTGTACATATGCAAGGTATACAGTACGGTTTACAATTAGTACATTGGCAAATAATCTTATACGTTGACATTTGTAATGGCCTATGGCGTTACAATTCGTGGAATCGTTTACATTAGAGTCTCGTTTGAGCTGGGCTGCAGCCGCACTGTACCCCAGTTATTAGGGAGCAGGTGTCTTGGTGTGTCCATCTAGTGGTTCGCTCCACTCTGAACTACTGTTTTGTTTAGAATGGGGTAAAGGGTAACAGAAGAAAGAAGAAAAGAAAGAGGCGGGTAGGGGTAGGAGGTTTGGGGGGGTAGCCCGGGGTGCTGGCACCATGCAGAGTTTCGGGTGACCCGATCAGATCCCCTTGCGTGTGTTTACAGGTTACTGTTTTTTTTCCAGGAAATCCTCCCACCTT